TCCGCGTACGCTTACAGTATACAGCTCCTTCGTGGTTGTTGGGTACAATTCCCTCATTAAAACAGTTCAACTGTTGTTTTGACCCGAAATTCTGTTTCAATGAGATTTATAAGGAACTTTTTATGCTCAGTTCACCTCACCTCTTACTAGGGGTTATGTGCATCTCAGTGGTTAGCGATAGCTAACCACTAGCGATGCAGTTAACCCCGGAGATTTAGCATCATATGTACTCACTGGGTTTGATTAATTGAGTTTGGATTATCATTTTTAAGACATTCCTCCGCGAGGGCCGACACTAGAACCACATGTTATGGAACCGCTTCGCCAATTGTAACGCGCCTGCTCGACCAGGGGCTCACTGGGGGTACAGAGCTACTGCAGAAAAGGTGTATCCGGATATAGTAATTCCCTCATTGAAACAATATTTCGGGTCAAAACAACAGTATTAGGGAATTATTCTGGTTATTGGGCACGGTAAGGTCACCCAGTCGGTCCCACAACTGATTTTTGCTCAGAAAACATGTTCACCCAGTCAATCCCACCACAGATATGGGTACGTATCCCCGTGCACCCTTGGCCTCCTCCCCCAGTTCGGTTCTTCCAACGCACAGTGGGTTCGTGTGGATTCTGCACTTGCCGCCGAAAAAGTCGTACTAACGTGATTACAGTACATCTTTGACTGCCTAGAAAACCTCGACCACCAACAACCACGAAGGAGGCAAGCGAATGCGGATAGTACGATCGTATGTCGCGCAGTGTATCAATCCATCGTATTGCAAGTGTTAACATCCTTCATTCTTTGAAAGTGCAACACAGTAAGAGATAAAGTAGCGGGTTTTTCTGGCAAGAATGTCGGCCACGCTGTTGGACACTTATGACGTCAAAGATGATTTATATGTACAGTATGTATGCGTGAGTGCATGTACTACAGCAATTCCCTCGCTGCAACAGTAGTACTGGTGTGACGTAATCACTTTTACCAAGAGCCCCTGTAACCCCGGAACCCCTGGACCCCTTTCCATACAATTCTATTCCTGGGGTTAAGCTGCATCACTAGTTGTTAGCTAGAACTAACCACTGAGATGCACTTAACCCCTAGCTGAAATGAGTTGTTTTGACTTACACTTCATTTGACTATGTGCCAGAAATAACGTGGGTTTGTATGGCAGGAGGCCCAAATGATTACGTCACAACAGTACAGTACTACTATTGCAGCGAGGGAATTGCTGATGTATCCCAACCATCCATTTGGACAGCTGGGGCGTTGGCTGTGGTCGGGTCGGCAAGCCAGATGAACGCGCCAGAGCTACTTGCCAAAGTAAGTCAAACATTGCGCGTGCCATAATGAAAGCGACATGACCAACATCATACGTGCACTCACGCCTCTTGTCATAAATACTACGTAACGTTACTGTAGTACTAGTATCCAACAGCGTGGCCGACATTCTTGCCAGAAAAATACGCTGCTGTATCGCACTTTATCGACATTGTGAAGAATAATTACCGGTATTCCCCGAAGGGTTTTCAGGGAAATTGCATTGGAAAATTTGTGTGGATTCTTGGTGCAAAACCACTCTACTGAATGGGCTTTGGATAGGACACCTTGCACGGATGCCGAAGTGTGTCATCGATGTACGACGTTCGAAGCGGCATTTGGATGTCAATTCAAACTCGAAAACCTTTTCAATATAATAATATTTCCCGCCATAAACATTTACTATTAATACTAGTAGTTCTGTACAAGATTATGGGGATGAGAGGTTCTGTTTCGTCCAATAATACAGCTCGAACGATTTAATTGGATGAAATAAATCGGCACATCACTGGATATTCGGCACACGCATCGCATTGGGCTCCAGTTTTGAATCAATTTGACAATACGCAGTCGTATTTATTGTCGTGTCAGCCATCGAAACTAGATTTGGGGGACCAGACCGTCGATCTCGCGGTCCAATCAGAACAGTGAAATTAAACGTTAGGCACGCGACATTCAATTTTGTAGTTACTTCCATATACTATAAATAGGATCATGATGAGTCATGTTCTCCACTCCTCAAACTCGGACAATTAACCTTGGGCGGAGGGGGTAATTTTGATCATCACATTGATTGGAACAAATGGCCAACGAGGGGTTTTGGAGAGAATGTTGTATGTACTCATTGTTTTGTGAACAAGCCCTTCGCACAATTTGGAAGTTCGATGGTTGAAGGAGTTTGATCGGTTACTGGAATCTTGATCGGGTTTTGATTTGTC